TTCACTGGGAAACCAATTCTAGAGTGTGGAAGCATTTTTCTACCCAATTGCAGAATATTGCAGTGTTCTGTCTCCAGTTGTTTCCACAGCTACTCTTAAGCAGAGATTCTTAGCACGTGGTTCCTAGAAAAGCCACATCACTTGAAAATTTGTCAGACACGCACAGTGTTGAGTCTTATAATCAGGCCCTCATCTAAGACTTTCAGAATCACAGACTCTGGGTTGAGCTCCAGCAATCCGTGTTTTAAGAAACTTCCCTCTGGTGAAAGATGTTAAAATTTGCGAACCACTGCTCTAATAAATCAATGCTTATCTCCCCTTGAATTAAAAAAAGAAAACCAATCAATGAAAAACAAACAAACACAAAAACAACCCCAAAACCACTCACAATCATTGCCAGGAAGACAGAACCAACTCATAGCTGACCCTACAGTGGATTTCAAAGGCAGCGAATCACATCTTTCTCTTGTGGAGCAGCTGGTAGACTCAACTACCTGCATTTAGGTTCATTCATTAGATTGTCATGGAAGGAGTATGGAACATGGGGAACAAAAGTACAAATGTGAAAAAGCCCTGGCTTAGTGGTCCAATGGAGACTGATAGAATTCCTGAGACTGTAGCTTTTGGTCACTCTTTATACATGGAACAAAATTCAACCCCATGGCTCGGCTTTCAGTCAAGAAGCAAGCAGGCCTATGGGGTGACCAATAACAACAGGGAACCACACACTCCTTAGAATACCCAGTCAGCTATGGTCAAAAGGACAGCATTTGCCCAAGGACAAAGCTCAGAAGGCAGCAAGAGGTAGGAAGATAGAAATGAGAATCACAGGAATTACATTGTGGTGGGTATTGTAATGAATGTTATAAAAAAAAGTGTGTCTGAATCATTGGATGAAAAATCAGTTTGCTTTGTAAACTTTCCCTCAATTCACAACTAAAATAAATACAAACAAACAAACAAGCCACAACAAACCAACCCAAATGCCTCCAAAAAAATCAGAAAGAAAACAAAACATATTTTTAAGAGTTCATCAGCACCACAACAAGATAAAGGTAAATAATCCAATAGAAAAATGGGCACAGGATAGAACAGACACTTCACCGAAGAGGACATTCAGATGGCAGATACACACATGAAGAAATATTCAAAATCCCTAGCTCTAAGAGAGATGCAAATTAAAACAACTATGAGGTATCATCTCATCCCAGTCAGAATAGCAAAATTTAACAGAAAAGCAAGCAACAAATGCTGGCGAGGTTGTGGAGAGACTGGAACCCTGATTCACTGTTGGTGAGAGTGTAAAATGGTGCAACCACTGTGGAAGGCGGTATGGTGCTTTCTCAAAAAGTTGCAAATAGAGATACCATTTGACACAGCAATTCCACTACTTGGAATATACCCTAAAGAGACCATAGCTGACATCCAAGCAGATACATGCACACTCATGTTTATCGTGGCTTTGTTCACAATAGCAAGGAGTTGAAAACAACCTAAGTGCCCATCAACAAACGAATGGATAGAGAAGCTGTAGTATATTCACACAATGGAATACTACACTGCATTGAAAAACAAAGAACACATGCAATATTATTCAAAATGGATGACCCTGGAGGACATTATGCTGAGTGAAGTATCTCAGTCACAAAAAGGACAAATACTGCATGGTGCGAATGTTGTAAAACAGGACTGACCTCGGGGTTGGGGGGAGACTGAGAAAGATGGGTTCAATAATGTATACTGCATTGAAACAGATGAGGGAGAAAACTGTTTAAAAGGGATATGTGATTAGGTATTTTTGTCATGACAGGAGTACAGAGTGAAGGCTGCATAGTGGAGTGGACCTGGGGGAGGGCTTGTAAAACAATAAAATACTTTTTTTTAACTTTTCCAAGAGGGTAGTGTACTACAGGGAAGGGCTGGGAGGGGAGAAAAGTGCAACAATGAATGGAAACCCAAAGTCTCTAAATTTTCATTGAAATTAATAAATTTTTTTTAAAAAAAAGGAAGAAAAAGTTTTTCAGAACGTGGCCTAAGACTTATATGTATTTTCTAGGTAATCAAAGTAGTTTCTTACCATAGTTTAACACTGTTGCTCTTATGGGCTGTGGAGTTGGAACCAATTCCTAGGTGATCCTCCCTCCAGCAGGTTTTCAGAGATGATAATTGCATGGGAGGAGACTGCCCATCTTTCTCCCATGAAGTTGCTGGTGGATTTGAACTGCCTGCGTTCGGGTAGGCAGTGCAACTCCTTACCCACTGGGCCACTGGAGTTCCTTGTTATTAGAAGCTTTAAATAAAGAAATTTCTAGAAGTTCTCCTGACCTGCTGATGCCCACCAATATCATAAAATCTCTTGGATAACTTCGCAGTGGCATAAGACCCTCTTCTTACAAGACCAGGAATTCATCTTAGCTCCACCTCCCTCCTTCTGCCATCATGTTTTCCAGAGCTCCCTACACAGCCATTTCAAAACACATTACCTCCTTATTAGACAGTGTACAGGTACCCCATCTCATCTAATTAACTTGATATTCATTCAAAGGCTTAACCCAGATTCTCCATTTCCATTTCCAGAAGTGCTTTTTTTGTCGCCAACTTTCATTCATTCATTCATTGACACTAAAAGATTTTTCTGAGCACACTCTACATGACAAGTACTTCTAGAGGCGCTGGTGAACCCCAACCATGAACTTGGCATATGGTCCTGCCCCTGCAGAGGAGCCCGGCTAGAGCTGGGCTTTCTAGTTCACACTCTCCACCCTCTGAATGAAAGCCTGGGCCTCTTTTCATTCAGTTCTCATGGTCCAGGAGGCAGCATGTTGAGACTTCAAAACAGGAATCACAGGTTAAAGGGATCTGAGGCTCAATCCTAGCTCTCCCCACTTCACCAATTACTTTTCAGTTCTCCAAGTTTCATTTTCCTCTTAAGAACACAATAATGCCATCACATGTGGGTTTTGCAAGGGTGAAATGAGAGAATACAGGGCACGACGCCTAATAGATGTACAACTGGTACTAGCTACCCTTTCCTTTCCCTAGAAAAGTTGCATCTTGTTCTGTTTGCTCCAGCCGAAAGCCCGTCCTTTATCTTAAGGTCAAATCTGTTCTTTCTGACCACCTGGACTCTCATCTGGCAACCCCAGGATCTATACCTGGAGCCACATTTCTCTGAGGTTTGTAGACCACCACCTTCCGAATCACCTGGGATGCTTGTCAACAAGTTCCTGCACCTCATTCCTGAAAAGAACTCTAGTGGTGCTGTGGTTAAGGCATTGTACTATGGTCAGCAGGTCCTGACATGAACTGGTTTGAGCTCAACCCAACTTTACCAATTACCACTGGTTCTCAGAGTGTGATATTTGGAGCAGCAGCATCAGAACCACCTGAGAACGTATAGGAAAATGTACGTTTTGGGGCCCCACCCCAACTGGATTGAAAAAGCCTCGGGCCCAGCCACTTGTGAAGCTGGTACAGCTCAAGTGTGAAAATCATTGCCACATACTGCCTGGATGAACATGAGATGATTTACAGCTTCTAAGATTTACAAGTTCTCTAAGTGTTAAGTGGCCTAGTGGGTAAGGAGTTGCTCTGTCACACCAAAGGCAAGTAGTTTGAAGCCACCAGCTATTCTGCTGGAGAAAGATGGGCAGTCTTCTTCTGTGCATTTTACAGCCTCTGAAAGCCTGCTGGAGGGTCAACTAGGAGTTGATTCAAACTCCACCACATGAGTTGACTTGCTAAATCTTGATTTCCTAAACTGTGAAATACTAAAAGCATTAACTACATAGTTATTTTTTTTAAAACTACATACTTTTATGTAGCACTGGTGGCTTAGTGGTAAAGAGTTGGGCTGCCAACTCAAAGGAACATGGCTCAAATCCACCAGCTGCTCCACAGGAGAAAGATGGGCAATGTACTCCCGTGAGGTTTACTGCTTCTGAAAATGTGCTAGAGGGCCAGTTGTGGATCAGTTCCAACTTGATGATATACATTAACAATAACTAACTATGTGGTGTTTTGGTAGCCAAAAAACACAACGCCTATAAAGAACTTATTGTATAGTACTTAGTAGATATTCATTATAATCCAAACAATCTTTGCTTTGTGCCATCAGCGTTTTTCACAATGGCTGGTGGGAACCACAGAGTTAAATAGCTCAAAGCTTGCCTGCACAACTCATCTTCTCACTTCATTGCTATCACACCTCTCATTCACTCTGGCACAGCTCTCTGCCTTCAATATTCCTGTTCTGCCAGCACAAATGACCTTTCCATTTTCTGCCCAATCTTCTTTCTCCCAGCAGCAGAATCTCTAGTCACAAACTATCCCCCTGAAGACTCACCTGACTGCTCCAAACCAAATGAATGTGTCCTTCTCAAAACTCTGGTCATCTTTTTATACTCTGCTTTCCAAGATTTGACCCCAAAACATGTGGATGCATCCTATTGGTGGATTTTATTTCACAACTAGTTGTCCTGTCTCTCACTATAGTGAAAGCTCTCGTGAGACAGAGCTGGTACCCTAGAATTCATTTTCAATCTTTTCCATACCCATCCTCTAGTATATACTACAGGAGTAAACAAAACTCCATGCTGTAGAGTTGATTCAAACTCATGGTGGCTCTCCATCTGGTTTTGGAGGCTGTAAATATTAACAGGAAGACGCTGCTTCCGGTTTTTGCCACACAGGAGCTTGTGAATTTGAACCACTGACCTCCTCAGTTAGCAGCCCAACAGTTAACCTGCTCCAGCACCAGGGCTCCTGAAAGGAGTAAAGGAATGAACACACTTCTATAACAGAGCCCAATGTTGCTAATCTAAGACGTGTTTGGAAAAACATTTGGCAGGGCCCAGTTTACTACTGTGTTTACCCTTCTTGTCCTGTGTCTAATGTCTAAACCCCATCCTCCACTCGACAGTAACACTCAAATAACAATGGGTCCCTTCCGTATTTTACACATCAAGACGGTGCTCATTTGGGAACAAGTACAGCCTCACCTGGAGTCCCTAAGCGGGCCTGAGCAATGGTCAATTTCTCGTGAGGTGCTTGGCATTGGCAGCTGGTTTCATCTGCAAACGGGGCAGGTGCAGTCAGGGTCTAGAAGGGGGAAGAAATGAGAAAGGAATGAAGAGAGTGTGATAAGCTTTTCCTTGGCATTAAGTTTCCATAACATTTCATTTTGATGATTACAGTCACACAATTAAAAAGTAGAATACATCCGCTCAGTCTTTCTGAGAAACACACTATTAGAAATAAAGCCAGGGACATGATCAAGAAAACCTTTCCCCTGCCCTTTTTCTTTTATTTTATATTGGTTAGCTTACAAAGTTTATGTACATTGTGTTCCACACTATTCTTCATATCTTGTTTCATACAACCATTCTCATGCATTATAAAACCTTTGTTTTTCACACTGATGCACCAGAAATAAGGAATTTTTGGTGTTAGATCCCATCAAGCTGGTTCCAAGTCATAACAACATTATGTACAGCCATACAGCAGGGCAAACAGCTGTCCAATCCTGGACCATCTTCCCAACCATTGCTAAGTTTGTGCCCATTGGTGGAGCCACTGTGTCAAAAAAGATGCCAGATACCAGATGAGCTTCTCTATATGGTAGTTCTGTTACACCTCAAAACACCCTACAGAAGGCGCACTGCTATCCCTGTTGCATGGGGAAAGGAAACTGAGGCTCAGCAGGGTTAGGAGATATGCCAAGATGTGCCCAGCTTTGAATGCTTCACAGCCAACAAGGGCAGTCTTGAAACATTTAGACTCACCTGCACACCAGGGTATTCGGCAGGAAGGAATGCCATACTCAGCAGCACAGTGCAACATCTTTATGTCACACACATTGGCCTGGCCACACACAGACCCTGCTGTCTCTTCAGTGCAAAGGCCAACGCCATTATTTTTTTTGTTTTCCTCTACCCAAGGCCTAAAAGCACAGTAATTCTCCGGTCGCAGACAACTCTCCTGCGGGAGCCCCAGCAGCCACCAACTGCTGAGGCCCCGCCCCAGGAAGCTTGGGCTGGGCCTAGGGGAGCGCTGTGAAAAAGATGTAGTCACTTGGAAGCCTGCCCGGGAAGTGGCCCTGCAGTTTTTAGTCAGCCTCTTAAAATGAGAACCTCCCTCTCTCCAGACAGAGGAAGACAGAGTGAGCAGTATTTTTGTAAACAGGGCAAACACAGACCCAGGCTTGCCCACATGGAGTCCTTGAGCCTCTGTCATTGCTACAGCTGTCACACAGTCTCATTTTTATTGCTAGTCCCTGTGAGCGTCACTCATTATAGTGCTCCAGGGGTTGTTTCTTTGAGATGGAGGCGCTGCTTCACTTAGAAGACTCAAATGAAGGATAGATGGATCCACAGGGGCTGTGTCTCCCGTGCACTTTCTGCCCTTCACTCACTCACAGACACACCAGGCCACCCCTCAGAGACTGTAGACAGAAGTAAGAGGAGACCAGCCAGTTCCCTACCCCTAACACAGCTCTCCTCTACACTGCCAAGGCCATTCATTCCTTGCGCTGCTCCAGCCCTCTGCTCCTCCACCCTGGAAGCCTTTGCTATTTTGGAGGCCTTCCAGTTGCCTTCAGGGCTCTGGAAGCAGGCCAACACTTGGGTGAAGAACTCAGGAAACTTGTGTCCATTGTTGATTCTTTTTCAGAAACACGGATGTGACCTCATGGGCTAGCGTGGGCAGAAGCAGTGCCTGTACCAGGGCACAAGGATGCAGTGACCAAGAGCAGAGACTATAGCCACAAGGCGACCTGGGTTCAGGTTTCTTTTCCAGCATTTACTGGCTATGTTTTCTAGTTAGGCTCTTCCGGTTGAAAGGAACAAGCACATGGCCAATTTAAAGCTACACAGGCACAGAAACTGGAAAGGGAGGACAGGAAGAGATCCTGTCACAAGAGTGCCACAGAGCGCATCACACCAAGTAGCCACTCTCCATGTGATCACACCTATTCCATCTCATTTGCCCTATATTAAATTCAGTATAGCAAAAGCTCTGCTAGCTTCCCCCAGACCTTAAACATGGCCCGGCACGGGCTCCTCAGCCTCCCTCCACCACACTCATTCAAACATCGCCAGTTGAGTCATTCAAAACTGGCCCAGGCTTCTTTCAGTTTATTGCTTCTTTTCATGTTTCTCAGGTCAGATTCATGAGGGATAATTCCTCTTTTCACACCAGATCACAACCACAACGGGCTGGGGTGGGACCAGGTGTCCAGTCCAGGGACAATTAGCTGACTGGAAGAGGAGAGAGAATGCTGTTCTGTTGATGCCCTTTTTACAGGAAGTAGAGGTGGACTAAGGAGGCCTGGTGGCTCCATGGTTAAAGTGCTCAGCTGCCTAAACTGAAAGATTAGCCATTCAAGCCTAGCTGTCACTGTGTGGAAGAAAGAACTTGCTGTCTTCTTCCATACAGGAATTCTATGGGGCGGTTCTGCTCTGTCATTTAGGGTCACTGTAAACAGGGACTGATTCACAAAAAAAAAACAAAAAAAAAAAGAAGAAGTTTTAGCTTTGGGTCCATAGGATAAGTAATACATTTCTTATCTATGCTCTCAAAGCAAGCACCTTAACTGATAAGGACTTTCATTCCATCTATAAAATTATTACAGTAGTACCTATCTTGAAGGGTTCCTGTGAAAAATAGAAATAACACAGGTAAAGCACTTGACACACAATGTTGTTGTTAGATGTCCTGAAGTCAGTTCCAACTCATAGCAACCCTATGCAGGACAAACCCTGCCTGGCCCAGTGCCATCCTCACATGATTTGCTATGTTTGGACTCACTGCTGTAGCCACTGTGTCGATCCATCTTGTTGAGGACTTCTTTTTTTGCTGACAATCTACCAACCATTATGTCCTTCTCCAGGGACTGGTCCTCCTGATAACATGTTCAAAGTATTTGAGAAGAATTTTTCTCATCCTCACTTCTAAGCAGCATTCTGGCTGAACTTCTCAGACAGATTTGTTTGCTTTTCAGCAGTCCGTGGGGTATTTAATATTTTCCCAATACTGTATAAATCTTCATTGGTCTTCTTTATTCATTGTCCAACTTTTGCATGCATAGGAGGCAAATGAAAATACTGTTTAGGTCTAGACACGGGGCCAAGGGGGAGAATGAAGAATTCAAAGAATACACACGTCGATAAGAAGGGTGAACAGCCTCAACCACATGGCCGAACCACTGGATGAACCATAAATGACAATGGAATCCCTCCCTTCCCTGCCTAAAATAAAAACCCTCCGCAATACGCTCAAAGCACAACTTCCCCCTTCTGCATCTTCAGAATGAGGAACCTCACCTGGGAGCTCCCCTAATAAAGCTGCTTTTAAGCTTTTTTTCTTATTCTCTGATCTCTTCCTTAAGTCCACAGCCTAACAAATACCGTGGCTTGGGTCAGGCACACCTTAGTCGTCAAAGTGGCATCTTGCTTTTTAACACTTCTTTAAAGTCTTTAAAGGTCTTTAGTAGCAGACTGACCTGAGGCAGTACATTATTTGATTTCTTGACTGCTGCTTCAATGGGCATTGATTATGGATTCAAGTAAAATGAAATCCTTGACACATTTCTCCATTTATCATGATGTTGCTCAGTGGTCCAGTTATAAAGATTTTGTTTATGCTTAGGACTAATTCAATATTGAAGGCTACATTGGTTTATTTTAAAGTCATCTTCATTTTCAGGAAGCAAGGTTGTACCATCTACATTATCATAGATTGTAACTGAGTCTTCCTCTAATCCCAGTACAGACTTCTTATTATAACTCATATGTATTTTCTGGATCTATTATCCAAGTGCCAATATTGAAATTGATGCATAGCTGACCCTTCAGCAGGTATTTTTGCTGACCTTCTACTATTCTAAGCATGATGTCTTTTTCCAAGGACTGGTCCTTCCTGATAATGTTCCTAAAGTATGTGAGATGAAATATCATCCTAGCTTCTAAGGAATGTTCTGGTTGCCATACTTCCTAAACAGGTTTGTTAGGTCTTCTGATAGTTCATGGTATATTCAATATAACAAAACAATTGTGGAATGTACAGGTTTTGTACCTAAGAACATTTAAAGTCATAAAGGATGTAATTGAGTGCATGAATATCAATATGGTAGACATTAGTGACGTAAAATGGACTGTTATTGGCCATTTAAAATAGGATAATCACATGGTCTATTACGCTGGGAATGACAAAGTAAAGAGAAACGGCATTTAAAGAAAAATACATCATCAGAGAGTCCATTTCAAGACTCTCAAGTATAATGCTGTCAGTGGCAGCTATAGAAATACTGATTAATCCAATTATTACTCAAATTTATGTAGGCACCATCAATGCCAAATATGAAGGAATTAAATGTCCCTACTAACTTTTGTAGTCTGATATTGGTCAAATATATAACCAAAATGTATTGATAATTAGTGGTGACTGAAACACAAAAGTTGGAAACAAAGTTGATCAATAAATGGCAATATGGCATTTGAAATATAAATTACACAAAGCCAGAGACTGCATAGAATTTTACAAGACCAGCCACTTATTTCTTGAAAATACTTTCTCAACAACATAAATGACAACTAAAGGATTTTGTACTGTGTGGATCATAAACTATGGCTAACACTGAGAAGAATGGGAATCCCCAAACAGTTTACTGTGTTCATGCAAAATCTCTATGTAGATCAAGAAGCTGTCTTCTGAACAGACCAAGGGAACACTGCATGGTTTAAAACCAGGAAAGGTGTGTGTCAGGGATACATCCTTTCTCCTTACCTATTCAATCTGTATACTGAACAAACAATTTGTGAAGCTGGACTCTATAAAGAGGAATGTGGTATCAAGATCAGAGGAAGATTCAATCCTCTGCGTAACGTAGATGACATAATTTTGCGTGTTGAAAGTGTTGCACTTGCAACACTTGCTGCAGAAGATCTGGAGTTAAAGCCTTCAGTATGGATTATACCTCACCATCAAGAAAATAAAGGTCCTCACCACAAGGCCAACAGTTCATTATCATGATCAACATCATGTTAAAGAAAGAATTGAAGCTGTTAATGATTTTACCTTGCTTGGGTCAACAATCAACACTC